ATGTATGTATGTATATACACATATAGATAGATGATAGATAGATGATAGATAGATAGATAGATGATAGATAGATAGATAGATAGATAGATAGAGAGATAGAGAGATAGAGAGATAGAGAGAGAGAGAGAGAGCGGGAGAAGGCTTTGGATCGAGTCGAGTCGGAAAGACCGACATTGCCAGAAGACCCAGGTGTCAAAGGACACGCCCTAGAAGCGAGCCACGGCCCCGAGGTCACCTGGCACAGCCGCCTCAGAGCTAAGCACTCCTTGCACCGCCGTAGGATACGCCGGGCTCGTGAAAAGGGCAAAAGCCGAGTTCTGCGGATGCTTAGGACTCGCAGCAAGCGGGCGCTTCATTTCACCACAGAGGTGGGGGCAAGAGGAACCCACCTGGCAGATGACAGTGGATGCCAAGATCGACGAGGGCGCCCCTCAAGGAAGCGACTATGTGAGGGGCGTCCAACACATCCTCAGCTGCTTCCGCAAGGCACAGATCAAGGCGAGAAAGGTGGAAGAGACGAAGGCAAAAACAGATGCGAAGTGGACGGAGTTCCAGCAAGCGCCGAAGGAGTCGTTCATCAAGGAACGCAAGAAGCATCACGACAAAGTCTCCCGCCTGACGGCCGAGTCAGCAAGGAAGCCCTCCACAAGCCGAAGGACATCTTAGCCGGACCGAGTTTGTTGGGACACCCCCGCGAGGATTCCTCCACCACCGAGGCTATGGAGGAGCTGGCCCAGCTGCCCCGAGACAGAATGGAGACCTCTCCTCGCTCCTTGCTGGGGCCCTGTGTGGTGGCGACATCAGGCAGAACGAGGCCACTGGCGGCCATCGACGAGCATCGACGAAGCGAAGTTCCGGCCACACCGCCCAGGAGAACTCAGACCGATATGGACACCACCCCGCCTGCAGGCAGCATGGCTCCAGGACGAGCAGCGAGTACCAAGGAGACTCGTGGTGGAGATGGAGACGCACCTGCTGGACATGGTGGAATCACGAAGGATCCGTACAGGAACTCCCCTTCCTTGGCTGGAATTATGCGTCTCGGGGCAGCAGAGAGAGCTTGAGGACAAGACCCACGCCGGGCCGAACTCCGATCAAGTGCGTGGACGGAAAACCGACAGTGGTGAAGACTACAGAAAGCGCTTGTGCCCGTCGTTTAGAGGCAAAGCGCAAAGAAGCAGAGAGAGCAGGCCGTCGAGGAGGAGACGGGCGAGGAGGATCGCATCGGGGACCTTGCCCAGCAGGAGAACGACAAGGCGGTAGTCGACGTCGAGTAGCATGGGTTACTATGTGGGATATACTGTAAGCAGCACTTTGCGGCAGGGGTGTATTTTCCTTTGGTGACTTTTTCGGCCTGTTCCCCCGGCCTCGAGCACATGTAGATCTACCTGGAAGGATTGAGTATGCCTTCCTGTGGGCGCAGATTGCAACGAACATCATTGGGGAAGCCCCCTCTTTATATCTCCGAGTACAGATGATACTGCCCAGGACCTGGAGCAGGGCCAAATGATGTTGGACCCAGGGGAGTACCGCCACACCCACTACGCTGCCAAAGACAACGGAGTCTCGATGTCCTTATCTTCTTGACCGGTCACGCCGAGGAGATGTTTTCTGGTTGGGCACCAGCTATGACAAGCACGGCATGTGGGATTGGCTTGACCATGCTCTGCCTACAGGGATGCGCGCTACTATGTGTCTTGGGGGCTGCAGCTCGAAGAAAAAGAGGTTTACAGTGTGGGCAGAATAGGCCAAGCCCGCGAACCCGAACACGAGGGAACAGCTGGCGAAGGCAGAATGCGCTGAATAGGGCCGTCGAAATGTCTCGAGCAGCCGGTCTAACCAAAATAGACACGGCAAAGGAGGGGTGGGTTCGCCTTCTGGGAGGACCCACAGATACCGGAGCTGGATGGCTGGACCGTCATGATCGGAGGAGGCGAACCAGCAGGAGACAGCAAGATCCGAGTGCGTGAGTCACTTTTTGCTTTGGAGGAGGATGGCACTGATAGTGCAAGTGAAAGTGAGACCTCGAGCACCGACCTTTCGTGGACCAGCTCCGGAAGCAGCCAGCCACCACGCCGCCCGGGCGGAGATTCAACAACCGAGAGCGGAAGAGACACTCCTTCTTGAGAATTGTGCTCTCGCTGAGGTCTATGACCGGACCACCGCCAAGCTCAAGTTCCCGCATGACTGGTTGGAGTTACGCAGTTACGAGCCTTGTACCGAATGTGGAGCCCGGACTGGATGCAACCAGACCTTTCTTCACTGAGTGGCATCTTAGTGCAAGCCGAAGTCAGTGATAAGCTCCACAACGTAATCAAGGACATGCACTTGAACATGTGGTTTGTCACGGCATATGCGAACGGTAAGCAACTATGCCACTCCCGAGCTGGATCTCTCGCCCAGGCGAATCCTTAGCGGATGTGATATATGCTTTCATATACAGCCACATCCTGTACTGGATCCACGAAATCTGGAGGCCGAGGAGTTAAACCTCTGGCATTTTCCGGGGATTGCAGGTGGTCTTGGCTCAGGCATATGACTCGGCGAAGCCCGTCCTGCTGAACAACCGGGCCCTGGAGCTCCCTACAAGAGTTGCTCTCTTCGAGATTACGGTTGCAACTTGCAACGATCTTTTTCGTCTGGCCAGACGGCTGCTTGCTCGGCAGCTTCCAGACGATCGACTGCTACAGCTGGTATTGTGGCTGACAGGCTGCATCCCGTTGGAGCGCCTTGCACGAAGACAGCGCCTCAGCCTGCTGGTTTCTTTTGGCTTGTTGTAGGCAGCCCTACAAGACGAGGCGTCGTGGATGAACACGGTGCGTTTGGACCTGGCCTGGGCCATCCAAGGCCGTGAAGACCAGTGGCCCGTGCTGGCCCAGCAGTGTTTCCTGAATGGTGGCACATTCTCTAAATGGCGCCCTTGTGTCTGAAGCGAATCGTCAAAGTGCGGATGAGCAGGAGAGGAGGGTCGTCGACGATGCAATGGCAGAAAGACCGCAATAAGAACCTACCGGCCCGAGAAGGAGAGGAAACATGGCGTTGTCGGGCTTGTCGCTGTGGCTTCGACTCGAAGGCCAAGCTCAGCGTCCACTACTTCAAAAAGCATGGACGCATCGCCACCTACCGGCTGTCTGCCCAGGGCACAAGGTGCCATGCTTGCAATACAGAGTGTTGGGCGGAGGGGAGAGTCGGGGTCCACCTACGGTCGTCGGCAGCCTGTGTCCGAGCCCGCCATGCAGAAGGCAAACGAGCCCGAGAAGTGGCGCCGGGCATAAGAAGCAAAGTCAGGCCAAAGGCGGATGTGGACCAGACCAGTACACGCCGGCAGAACCAGACAGGGAACAAGCATGTCGCCCCCCTTCCGGTGAAGCCTTTTGGCAAGACTTGGCAAGGAAGGCTATAACCAGCTATGCGAAACGATCCAGGCGACCAAGCTGGCATTGGAGCTCGATGAGATCCTGAAAGTTGCGGATGAGGTCTTCAACCAGTACCCCCTACACCAGCAGGAGGAACAGGACATCTTGCCCAGGATTCAGAACGAGATCAAGCTGCTCCAAAGGGGACGCAGAGACGGCGATCTGGACCCCGGACCAAGCGATGACCCTCGGGGCAGCCTTTGACATGGGCGCGGCAACGTGTGGAAGCACATAGCCTTTGCGGAGGCATTGAAAATGCCGACCCTGCAAGAGTTCCAGACCGAGACTGCGCAGATCGACCTGGACGACTTCTTTGCTTCCGAGCCTGGAAACGGGACCCGGTCACCCGTTCTACTGATGCCTGAACGGCCTGAACGTTGGGAAACTGAATGGCGTAAGGCTTTGAAAAACAGGCCTTTCAGCCTTTCAGCCGTTGCTAGGGATTTCACCTGTCTCCTCCCGGCTCCTTGAGGGATGCTTCATGCAGAACCCACTGGTCGAAGCTGATGCTACGCTGGCCAACCTCGTCCAGAACCATGACCACTTTTCCTTAACGACACCTACTACGAGAACTGTCCCGTGCCGACAGTATCATCAAACAAGGCAAGGATCTTTTGAAGAGTTGGGGGAAAGACCCAAGTGCACCTGGAGCCCAAGAAAGACAGGCGGGCTTCGCAGCGCTCTCGATGCCACCGACTCCCCTCACTTAGCTGCCTTTGAGGGAGCGGTGGCCCTCACAACACAAGCATTTGAAGCAGAACTGGATGCAGTGCGAAGATCAACTTCATACTTCGACTCCGTGTTACAGTAGATCCGGAGAAATTTTGCCCAGCCACTGGATGAGACAGGGGGGAGTCCCTCAGGCAACAGGCGACGGATGAGCGAAAGGCCTACTGGTAGTTCCGGCCGCAATTTGGAGAAGTTGGCCAGTTCCTCCGGGAGACCATGGAGTACGCGGTGATCCTCTACCTCACTTACCTGATCCTCCACAACACCAAGGCAGTGGGCAGGGGAATTCTATCCCTTTTAAAATCTTGAAGACCCAGCAAATATTGGAGCTGCGGAGCGGAAGGTTCTTGCGTGAGCGTAGCAACGCGCACAAGGCCGTGAGCTTGTGCTGGTGGTCGTTATTACACCCCCTAAGCTGCGAACGCGCAAACTAAACACCCAGATCAAGATTCACCCCATTTCGATAAGATGCCCCGCCAAATGACATGATTATCAATGAGGTTGTTCGCTGACCGTTGCCGATGTACTCATCCTGGCTTCTTGTTTATGTTTGTAGTGCATCCGTATATGTAGGGGGAAGGCCCTAGGCCACGATGAATGTTGAACTCGACTTTGCCATACTGTTATGCCCTTGGCCTGAGGAGCCCGCCATTTCCTAGACTTTTCTTCTCTGCCTAGGCCTCTTTCTTGCTCAAGTTAGTTCCATCATAACTTTCACCTGAGAACCGATAAGCAAGGGACCGAGCTCGAGGCTTACTAAAGTTCGTGGCTTTGCCTTTTCTGGTTGCTTTCAGGGATCGCTTTCATTAGGGTCCTACTTGCTGCGGTCTTCCGTCAAAGAAACGTGTTCAAACCGCGACTGACGCTGTGGCGTACTATAACCTGCATGTCTTTGTTTTGTTTTAAGTACCGTTCGCCGTTTGCTTCCCGTGTTGCTGCCCAGCATAATCGCGAAGAGCACCCCACCCTTTGTGAACGGTTCCCTCGACGGCCTGACTGAATCCGCCGCGACGCCAGTTTCCCCGGGTTTTGTTTCTAGTTTAGCCCTGTGTCCTCACATGCAATTCAGTCGAGTGCCGCTTGAGAGCCGTAGCAACATCCGACAGTTCGCTTCACCAGCAGGGGCAGTTCTCTAAATTAGGGTCCCTTGTTGGTCCAAAATATAGTACGACACCCTTATAAAAAAGGACCCTAAAAGGGACCCTAATTTAGAGAACTACCCACAGAGATCAGGGGAAGACCCCCGCGATCAGAGGCAGCAGAGCCCTCGTGACTTTCTAACTTAGTGGTGCTTATGTCCTTTTTGGGCCTTTTGCTGCCGCGGTCTGCACGCAACTTTCTGACGCGCGCAATTGTCTAGGGGTCAAACCCCTTCACCATAGCCTTGGCGAGAGAAAGAGAGAATGAACCGTAAACCCCACGACAGCAAGCGTTGACGTGGTTCGAGGCATCCTATAAAGTTTAGGGCCTGGGGTGCAGGATGTAGGCGTGGATCCCGGGATTAAAGATTCGGGATAGCCGGAGTCCAGCTTGTGCCCGATTGCTACGGCGGCAGCCAGCTTTGAGCCCAAACCTCCAATGCAAACGAACGCCGAAAGCACGCCCAGAGACATGTGGGTTCATGTGAAGGGAGGTTGGAAGGTCACGGGTGATTTCAACCCAGCGAGCCTTTTATAAAGACATCCCGACAGGCTTGAAACCGAAGCCGAAACGTCAAGAATTATCAAGAACTGACCCCGAACCTCAACCACTTCGAGATCCTTTCCTGTAGGCGGCGGACATCATCGGAAAGCTTCGGGAAATGCCGTTTGAGTTCACCACGGAGACTGGCAAGTTGCGGGCCTGCAATCCTTGTCACAGCCCGGAGTAAGAGGGACCGACAAATGCATTCGAGCTCAGCCTCTCTTTTGAGTATGTTCGTTACCAAGACGAGCATTGAAATTGAAACTGATCCACTGATATCGGTGTCCTGTAGTTTGCAAGTCCTCTTGATTGCGACTGTGGACGCATTCCAACCTTGTGTGAATTTGTCGCCTGTGCGTGTTGTGGGGCTTCTCTGCAGTAGCTCGGCAGGATGTCAAGTGCTCCCAGCTCTATCGTTCACGAGAGAGAATGCATATGCTTGCCCGGAAGTGTGCAAACTTGTTTGACAGCGGCATCAGCAGGTGAGCAATCACCGCCGTTGTTGACCTTAGCTCCGTCGACTTGACAGTTTCTTCGCTCGCGGGCTGGATGTGACGATGCCCTGTGTTTGAAGGAGTACCAACTCGAGAAGGCTGAAAAGCCGAGGCAGAAGACAACTGCGACCTTTGAATCGAACTTCTTCCAAAACTCGAAAACTTCTGAACCTCGCTGAGAAGCAATCACATCACTTGCAAAACTCCATGACTAGCCTTTTACCATCAGCGGAGAAAAGGCGACAATCGAAGCATCATTTCCAATGCCTTCCCCATGCCCGAAACCTGGGCTGGCCCAAAGCCCGGAACATCCCGGAACCATTCACAAACAAGATCCCCACGGAGAGTCGGGTACCCCTCAGTTGCAGAGCATAATGACAAGGGACTCTGGTATTTGCCTCTCTGAGAACTTTAACTGTGTTTTGCTTTTCAAACCAAGAGGCTTCGGGAGCAGCTGATTGCGAACATCCACCATGTGCCTCGGTTTCGGGAAAAGCTACTAGGACCTTCGGGCTTTTGAGGGTTTAGATTGGTTATCTCTTTGGGGTTTAAGGGTTTCCAGTCCCTGCTCAAAGGTGCGTGGCTGTTTGGGTCTAACGGTTTAGAAGGGTTTAAATTGTTTTGTCTGTAGGCTCTTTCTTGTGATCGTCGATAGGATTACTGCTAGTGGGTGTGCATGTAGGTTTCGATCCACGCCTTGATAGATTGTTACGGTGTTTGTATGGCGGTAGTCGGGCTAGGCGGGAGCACAGGATGCGCCAAACAGCGATGGCAGGGCTGTCGAGGGCTAGAAGGTTTTAGTTAGGGCTTCATTCAGTGTTTTGAAAACGAGAAGCCGGAAACCTTCAACCGATACCCTAGACCTAGCACAGCTAAGTGCACAATGTGTGCAACAGAGCTCTTTGCATCCCAGAAGTTAGCCCTGACCGGTTTAGCGGTGCAGGGACGAGAGAACACTCATGTGAACCATTAGGTGCGATTTTTCTCTTGAGCCTTATGACAGTCGTTGTGGTGTTGTTGTGCTACCATGTTTGTATTCGCGATATTGGTCTTACCAAGCTTTCGTCTATATTGCTGTCCGGAAGTAGGTCTCTTCGAGTGAAGGAGCCTCGTCGTTTATCTATTGATGTGACAGGAGGCTTCGAAGGATGAAGCTTCCAGCCTGTTAGAGTTTTTGGCTTCGGGCTTTTTCAGCAGGCGCCTAGAACTCTGGGCGTTGGGTGTGGTCGTGATGGGTTGTCGGACTCGTGCCGCACCGAGGAATCGCACTGGAAGGAGCGATTAGCTGCAGCCCGGCCGCGCCAAAAGGGCAGACCCAAAGAAGGGACGTCTAATCTTCTGGAGTTTTTGACATTTTACCAAATTCTTCTTTTCTGGCGCTCTGGCGACTTGCCTTTGCCTTATGGCAGGACTCTTTGGATGGCGGCGGTCAGGGAAGGGCCCATCGGTTTGCCTTCTCCACATCCCACCATGTCCGACAGCTCTCGGAACGTCCCAAGACAAAATAGTTTTTAATACAGGCAGATTGTGTCGGGGTGGTGCGATGCATGTTTCCACACGCATCGGCACTTCCCTGATACGTTGTCAAGGAAGGTTGGGGTCTGATCAACTCATCATGTAATTGTTTCAATACACAGTTTTCGCCGATAACATGCATCAGCATCAGTTGTGTTGATGCCACTTGCAGTCAAAGCCGACCACAATCCTGCGAGTTAAGTACGACAATTATTTGAAACTTGTCACAGCACTTTGCATTCTATGAGGTCGGCGGTTTGTCAAAAATCAGAAATCTGGCATGCTAGGTTGACGGACTTCAGCACGCATCCGGGCGTCTAGAGCGGAGCCTTTTGGGCTCCAAAATTTTCGAGAAGCAGCCGCGAGGTCCTTCGGGGAGAAAAGCTGCAGAACATCCGCTTCATCGCGTTGTTGAAGAAGGCCCTCTCTCAAAAATCTTCCTGATTTTGATCTTGGCCTGGCGCTCGGCTTGGATGTGAATCATCCCTGCGCAATGTTACGAAACTGTCGCGAAACCAAAAGAGCCCAAACCCAAAACTGGCTTTGGGGTCGTGGTTTAGACAGTTCCCTGTGGACAGTCGCAGTTCCATTCTTGCTGAGGGTCCCAGCTGCCACGGTCACAGGGGTATCCACAAGCTAGTCCCAGCCAGAGCAGTCAGACCAACTGTCGGGATGGACGGTATGGCCATGTATTGCCACTACCCACCGAAGAAGATTGTTTGAATTCAGCTTTTCAGGGTATCTTGAAGCTTTGTTATCACCGTGTGAAAATATTTTAGATGCCCTAGTAATTGCAGGGCGTCCACGCTAAGCTTCTGCCGCCTGGGGTTGGTTGGCCCATCGTCGCAAATGGTCTTTACGGTCCTACGGTCGAATTGACGGTGCTTTGTGCACCAGCGAGATCTAAGTGGGAGTTACCCACTGTTGTCAGCCATGATGTTTCCCAAGCTGTCCGTGAACCTCGATATAGCAGACATATAGTTTTGGGTCATGGTAACTACCAGCCCGCCTTCGTCCCAATGGCCTGAGGTCGGAGGCCCGCAACAGGGCCGCAGCACAGGTTTTCATGCGGACACTCCTGTCGTGGGAAGGAGTCCGAGGAACGAAAATATTGTCGGACACCTGTACAGCCGGTAGCTTCTCCGCCAAGCAGAAGCTGGCGTGGTATAGGGGACTGGTAGGTATGGCATGGGATGGTGGGCTGATAAATCATTAACTCATCAATGGAATCAATGTACCAGTGTCTGAGAAGGAAAGAAGGCCTCGCAGGCCGTAAGCAAAGAGTCGCAGCGTGGTACTGATCGAAGTCTTTGTTGACTAAACTTCCTTCCTCTTGATCCCAGAGCCGCGAGGGTTTCATAGACAGTGCAGCCTAGGAGAAGAAGAGACCTGGCACCCGAAACCCCTTGCTATAGACCTGAAACAGAAGTGCGCCGCCCCAAACTGCAAGACCTAAAAGCTTTGAGACCGCTTCACCATCCCTCATGCATATTGACGGGGCTTGCGCAGGACGCCCGAAAGAAGCACTGTCTCGTTTACTCTTCGACTTGCTCTTGTTCTTGCCCACGCTTTGCGAATTACCAACCTTGCCATCATGTGCATGGGTGCCTTCAGCTTCCCTGGAAAGGGTGCTCTGCGCCGTTCCAATGTTTAAGTTCCTCATGCCTCTGCGAGCACCGGCTAGCTTGGATTAATATGTCGGACTGCCTCCCGTCGGACGTCCACCGCCCAAAGCCGTGAACCATTACGGACCCGCGGGCAACAAGCAAGAAGTCACGAGGCTTGTTAGAGCGAGAGAGAGGCGCTTGACTTGGTGTTTCTTAGCGGTCAGGGTTTAGCAGGGGTGTTTCTGGGAGATGCACGGGCTCATTCGGGGAAAGCCCGCGCAAACCTCACGGAAGCGGCCAAGCTTGGACACTGCCGCTTGCGGACCGAGTAGGGTAGGCCTTCGGGGGGTTATGCCCCATACCCCTAGCAAGCAAGCCAGCAAGACAGAGAGAGTGAGAAAGAACGAGATTTCGTCAACTTCGACAAGGTGGTTTAGGGTGTCTAGGGTTCCGGGAGAGGGCTTCGGCGTTTTGAGGTGAAAGCCTGTGTTAGAGGTTCGAGATTTTCGGATTCCAGGTGTTTCTCATGATTTCGGAAGCCTTCGGAAAGGGAACTTGGCAAATTAAGCCTAAAAAACACTTCCAAAACCTATAAGCCCTAAACCTCCGGATAATGAGCCTACAGTCGCGAAGCGGACGGTGCTTGCCCCCAGGCGGTTGATTCCTTGAGCTCTGAGGTGATTCAGCGTTTTCCGCACTTAAAACTTCTGGGCCTCCGAATCTGCGGCAAGAAGGATCTTGCACAAACTTACGAGACCCACTGCCCAGAAGTTTCCTAGACCCGGAATCCCCATCTTTGCCATTACCCCCCAGAACTTCCTGTCAACTAACGGCCATCGCAATTCAACCAACTCAGGCGTTTTCAACGGAAGCTGCTTTTGGCGGATCTTTCTCATACAAAAAGCCTTGCCAACTCGGTACCTCCAATGAAGTTTTCTGCCCATGCTGACAGGGCTGCGTCAGTAATCACGAATCCTCCCGAGAAGCCTGACAGCGGTGGCTGCCACCACCGCCTCCGCGCGGTGGCTGTCGCGATGGTGGTTGTACATATTTCGCAATGAGAGCAGCAGAATCAGAAGCAAAGTCTTTGCACTAAAAGCTGTCGTGCGCTGCGGCGACTAGTCGATCGCAGGAAGGACAGAAGGGCTCGGGCGGACGAGTCGGAACCAAGAGAAATGACCTCAGCAGCCTCAACGTTCCTCTCGCCGCAGTGGCGCCTCAGGCGGGCATCTGCTTGTGATCGCCTTACCTGGGTTGTCCCATTGCCTACAAGCCCTTAAAGTGACAAAGCTTTGGGTAGCTTGGCTTGGTGCTTGCGTGAGGTGGGCTAGACAAGGTGTGATGGATATTTTCGTTTCGTCGTCTTTTCGCAGCTGAAGCAAACTGAGTTGAGCTGGTCTAGACAACACTTCGCCTTCCGTAGCGTGTGCTTGTTCGAGATTGAGTTTGCCAGCTTTGGACTTGGGACTCTCTCGGATGCCAAAGAACAGCTAGAACTAGAATCCTTCATCGTCCACAACTACTCCGGAGAGAGAGTGGTCGTGTTAAATGGCGTGTGTTAGTTAGCCGTATTAGAAGAACTTTTGAAATTACTTTATTGCTACGTACGACTATGACCATCAATTGTTTGTAGTCTGTGGTGTTCGTGCTATTGCCACGCTGCGCTGGTAAATCGATCGTAGATACGACCCAAACAGAGGCAGAGTCTGCGCCACTGCAGGGTGTGCTCTGGACTGCCAGCAGTGCAAGAAAGGCCATCGTTGTTTCTAAGCTGCTGCCAGCGGCGGAATCATGCTGCTTCTTGCCCGACCCGGAGTGCGCTGGGCCAGGGCATGAAGAAAACGGCGGGGTCCTAGCATCGGGGAAGTGATGTGGGAGCCAGAGTTGTTCAGGTTTTTCCAGGGGTATTCGGGCCTGCTCTGACAGAGCGCCGGCAGTAAGTCTGCAGTTGTTATTGGTCGGTTTTGGTTTTACGGCCTCGCATGTACATTTACAACATGCCGAGTATCAGATCGCCCCGCATTTGTTCTGTGTGCCACTGTAGTTGGGCAAGTGTTGCAGTGTGAAGCTGCAGATGCGAGATGTTATGCTTTTGCGCAACTTTGTGCATCACTGAAGCCGTCTACGCCATACTGTTGCGCTCTTCTCGCTTGAAATCCTCTCTCTGTCTGTCTCTGTGTCTGTTTGTTTGTCAGTCAGTCTGGCCGGCCGGCTGTCTGTCTGCCTGCCATTGCCTGCCTCTCTCTCCCTCTCTGCGTTTACGTACAGATGCATGCTGTCTGGATAGATAAGTACAGCGCTACCAGCTGAGGCGTGCATACTAGAACTACATGCAAGCACACGTGCACATGTAGGTTCGGTCTCATCTCCTCTAATGCAGATGCACGTATACTTCATGTACGTATATCTGAGGTTCGGTTTCACGCTGTGTCTGGCTGATGGCTCCAGCTCTGAAGCATGACAAGAGCCCCCGAAGCCAAGACCTAAGCGGCAAGCTTCCAGAAGGGGTTTCGGTGTGAGACAAGCTTGAGGGTTTGTAAGGTTTTCAGGTGTGGGGCTAATCTTCGCTCTGGTTTTCGGAGGCGAGTCTACAAGACCGATGCGGTCCAGCTTTGAGGGTAAGCACTTGGGCTATTTGTCGCTCATCCTCACGCACAGCTGTCAAGCGCCCTCCCTCAGCCCAGAAGGCACGGCTGTTCCAGTTCGGTGATCGGCAGAGAGAGAGATCGTTTCAAGTTCCCAAGTTTCGCTCCAAACCTTGTCAGCCTTGGGGACGGCGAGCCCTAGTTTCCTGTTTATCCAGCCTCTACACACTACCGGGTGTGCATCGGCAACAACTTCAATCCTGTAGGCTCTCTACGCTGCTCAATCCCGAGTTCTCTGTCCGCAAGGGTCCCAACACACCCGAACAATCCTTGAACCAGCTCTGGGTCTTGGACGGATTGCTTCACGATTTATCAGTAGCTTCCCTATCTTATGAAGCAGAGGCATAGGTTCTAAAGGTCAGGTATCGTGTTCCTGCAGAAACAGAATGACGGCGGCATGATTCTGAACCAGGAAAACTGTCAGGCCCTTAGCCACGGCTACACCCCAACGGCTGAGCAATTCAGCAGCCAGAAGCCCTCTTCGCCTCGAAACCCCGGTAGAATCACCAGAGCCCCGAACCCGACAATTGAAGATCTCTCAATCCTAGAACCCACAACCCACCCTCGATACAAAGCCTTTCAGAACTCTGAATCTCAGGCCCTTTGAAACCTGAAACTCTATGTAAACCTTGAGCACTAAACTAAATCTGACCATTGCTGCCATATTGTCGCTACAACAACTTTTCGGCCTCTGCCGGCAAGAGCGGATTTCAACAAATTCAGGATGCTACTCTGAGATCCCGACCAAAACCCTCAACCGCACAGGCTGGAGGCCCCATGGACCCCCTGAATGTCGCAGTTTGGCCCTCGAGTTGGTTTTGGTCTTTGGGGTTTGGGGTTGAGGGGAGAGTTTTCTTGGTTTAATTGCGGTTGGAGGTTTCGGGATGTGAGCTTCACGGTACATGCTTGGATCCTTCAAGATTGGGCTTCCAAGTGTCTTGATGAGGAATGTCTTCGAAGTGTATGCTGTATGCTTGCTAGCGCGTTCGGGGCTGCTCCGAACTTCGGTACGAGTCTCGCACCTGTAGTGTTCAAGCCTGAGCACCGAAACCAAGTGAAGCCTCACACCCTATGATTACTAGTTACTAGTAACACAAGCTGGTATATGGTTTCAATGTACACCTCGATACTATTCTAACCTGCGACGAGCCTTTTGAAAAGAAACTCCTTCACAAAGCTCCCGTTTGGAGACGGAAGCCCCGCTTCGGCCGAGGCTCTGCTCTCGCCAGAGGCCGGAATTTAGGGGGCCTCCAATCGTGGGGATCTCGTTTGCAAGGGTGTCTGGGCGTTTTCGGGTACTTGAAAGAGAAGCCTTCGAGTTTTTCTGGGTTTCAGGTTGGGAGCATGCGAAGTTGTCCGAAGAGCATGCCGAGCCAATTCCTCTCTGACTGACATCGTGTTGAATGTTCCGCATGTTGGGCGATGCCCTGTGACGCTCGACGGAAGGTCATCCAGGAGTTGGCCAGTGCGACACCCAGTGGATGCATGTGATGCATGCTTCAGAGCTGAGATAGGGAAGACGTTGCAAAGAGCGCCGCAGAGTTCAGGCCATGGTTTGGTTATCTGTTGTCAGAATGAGATGGCTTCCGGGAGCCAGGCAATTAGCAGCGGTCCTCGAAGCACGAAGCAAAGATAAGAACTCTAAAATCAGAGAGCCTAGAGAAACGCAAAGCATGAAGTGAATCCAACCTGCAACTAAAGCCCAGGCCCCTGTCCCCTTGTTTGAAGCCTGAAGCTCTGGCCGAAGCCATGAGCCACACGTTCAATAACCCTTTACACTTAATGGCTGAAGCCCATGACCGGGCGAGTAAGTGCCTCAGCAAACACGAGACCCACCAACCAGCCCTGCCCACCCTGGGTTCGGACGCACTTTTGAGCTCCAGACTGACAAAAGCTCCTTGCTCACGGTCTATTCGAAGATCGGGAGGTTTCAGCGTATTCAGCGTCCGATGTAATCAGCACATAAACCCCGAAACCGACATTCCAACACCCAAAAAGGTTATCCCAAAACCCGACACCCGTCAAACTTTGAATCCCGAAACCCCGAGCCAAGAAACTTAGCCGTAGCTGGCTTGAGTGCAGGAGATGCCTTGAACTTGCAGCAAGGTGCCGGTTAGGGCTCGAGGTTCAGGGTTTGGGGTTTAAAGTTAGGAGCTAGGCCTATAGGGTTTAGGCTTTGGCTCCATCTTCGCAGGTGCCCCTTGAGGTTCCTTAGTAGTGTTCCCGAACGAATCCGAGCCATGTCACCCTCGAGTCCTTAGCCCTCCACTGCCCTATGCACGAAGCCCCTGGTCCCAACCGCTTACATCCACAGCAGAGAGAGCGATAGATAAACGTGTTTCTTCGCGCTTGTGTTCATGTACTTAGACGCTTCATATGTGCACGCAATGTGCGGGTATGTCTTTGTGATACTCTCCGAGGTGTTTCTTTCGTGGGAAGATTGCGCTTCATCAGCCCACTGACCGAGTGCTTCTCTTTTCAAAATTCGATTTTAGCCATTGTTTGCTTGCAAACTTGGGGTCATTCCATCATGTCAGAGATGAAAAACACGGCAACCCAGACAGCGACCAGCTGTAACATACTGCTGGAAGTTCTGCGGAATGGAGACGGCTTCCCGTACGTTCTTTGCTACCAGGCCCAGCATCGACACCCGCCGTTGCAGTGGACCATTCAGATTTCTATGAAACTAGACATATTGCTATAGCCCCACCGACCAAACTACAATGTACCCGCAAGCCAGACTTCAATTCTGTCGGCCCTCATGTTAGTTAAGAAGCACACCGCCAGGCCCCACCCCATCCGCACGCGCCACCATGCGCAGTGTGCCTCGAAGCCCATTGGGCAGCCCTCGGTCAGAGGTGGGGCGTCAGGTTTTGGGCTTTGACGGGGTCGGGTTATTTGTTGTTTGAAACAGCCTGACGTATCCTGTGTTGCATAATTAGGGGTTTGGTTTTTGAACGCCTTACGATTCAATGTCGTTTTTAGGGTTAAGCCTGAGAGCTGCTAGCCGAAGCCTGGCGTTTGTGAGGGATTCAGACATTTTGGGGCCTTGCTGCTTGGGTCTGAGATGGACTCTGGGGTCTGAGCCCTAAGCCCCCTAAACCCTTGTAGAAATTCCCAGGAGGCAAGTCCTAGGGACAACTGCAACGCAATGTATGTCAGCTGTACGTACCAGTCGGAAAACCTGTTACAGCGCTTTGGTATGTTTATCTCGAGGCCCGAATCTACCAGATATGAGCAGGATGTGACAACAAAAATCACAGGGACTTTGCCAGGAATCCCGGCGCCCACGGTCGCCTGGGTCTCCGCCACCCTTAGTTCCCTCTGCAAGGCAGCGGGTTGGAAGTTGGTGTCGGGGTCCTTTGCGTATACGCCAAGTTAGGGTAATCAGAACCCTTTTGAACACTTACGTTACATATGTGCTGTCAAGGTACGGAAAAGCACTTCACAAACCTACTCAATGTAGAAATGATGTTGAGAGGGGTGCGACTGAGAGGAAGAAAGGGAGGGGAGGCGCAGGAGAGGGAAGGAGTGGATTCTAGATGATTCAAGAACGACTTCTGTAACCGTTGACTTGCGAGCCATTCGGGAGCTTTCTGTAGTTTCGCGTCTGTCTTCTTTTCGGACCTGATCTCACAAGCAACGGCAGGAAGATAACATGCATAACTTGTTGGAGTTCAGGCGCGAAAAGCTGAACCGAACACGACTATAGTGAAAAGGACTTGAAAGCCTCGGAACCGCCTCGTTTCTCTACCCATTTCAGTGTCTTTATTGCTGTACGCAGGTGCCAGTTATGGTACCTTGGTACTCGTGCCTGTGCTGAGAGGTGGGGCAATTACTTAAAGACCAGCCCCTTTAAAAAATGCAAACCCTGAATGCCAGACCAGCCGGCTAGCAAAGGCTCGCAGGATTTGCAATGCTTTCGAGACCCGGAGCTTATTGCACTTGTGCGAACAGGAAATCGTGTTTACGGAAAAATGTGACAGTTGCGGAGAGTCTGCTTGCCGGCCGCAGTGTCCAAGCCCAAATTGTCCAGTGAGGCCCCAAAACACAGAGACTTAATTACGCGGCCGGAGATGCCGGAGCAAGTGATGATATTGCCTTTTAAAGCCTTAAGTTCCTTGCCTCTATATTAGCTAAGCTTCGGCCCACAGAGATCTGAAAGTCTGAAGCACTGAAGCCGTCGGACCCAAACTCCCAAGGAGACCTGAACGCTAAACCCAGCTTCCTTTGTATCTAGGCTCCAAGCACCTCAGGCCAGACTCCCAAACCCTGAACCCAGAACGAGTCAAAGGCTGGCTGGTCTGAGCCGGACTCGCAGCTCTCCGGGCAGAGCACGGTTTCCCGGAGCCACGGTGGATCGGTGGCTTCGTTGATTCGATTTGGACCTTTTGAGGTGCCGGTCTCGCCTGAGGGTTGCTCTTTCGAAGTGGAGTGGAAGCGATTCCCAAATCTGCTCTTGTTTTCCAACGGTACTAGCGATTACTGGCGTAGCTGCTTGTGGTTCCGTGTGGTTCCGAAACCTTGTTATGACTAATGTCACGGTACTAAGCATTCCTCCTCCCTTACCTACTTCTTCCTTTCTCTGCCAGTCTAGCTCTCCTGGTTCCTATGCTCTTTGCTGCATCTCGCTCTCTCTCTCTCTCTCTCTACAAAGCTCTTGGCGTGGAGTCGAGCCTTCGGCCTACCTTCTACAACCCCCGAGCTGGTCACAAGCCTTGCCGTTCGGATCCCTAACCGGTCCCTAACCGAAACGAAGAAAGCCTAGGCCCCGCCAGCTGTGGCCTCCAAGGGCCTCTTCCTCGGTAGTGGAGTGGAGGGTTTCTGCGCTTTTGCAGTTCCGGCGCCGCAGCTCTGTAAGGTGAACTTTCCTGAATCCTAAACCCGAAAGCCCCTCAGCTTTATCCCCTACAGGCCCTACAGTATCCTGGTTCACTCTGTGTCGGAGCCACTGACAACGGCACGGTACGCACCAAATGAATCGAGGACCCGAGCTCACGGCAGCCTTTGCAGGCTTCGGGTTAGGGTTTTCTCCCAAAGCGGCCTTTAACAAAATCTACAAAAAACCCTGAGCAGATTCTTTGTGCAGAGGTCCATGCGCACAGTAAGAAGTGGTCCCGAGCTTTGCAATCGGCTGAGCTTGAGAAAAGCATTTTGCTTAGGACCCACAAGTATCTTGTTTATATATGATGCAAGAACCTAGTCTAGGTTCGCTACTGCGACAAAAGCTGAGAATGATTCCCAGAGGCCTGCCACAAGCTTTTCCTTGCAGCGCCAGTCCTGCGGTCGCTGCTGAATGGAAGCTGCCTTGTAAGCACACATGCACCTAAACCGCGAACGACACTTGTATACTCGAGTCAAGCTGAGGAAGAAGAAATATAGTCACACCCCTGCGAAATTAAAGTTCATTCCAAGAGCCAGAGACATCAAAAGCCCCGCGGACGCCGAGGGCGGGCTTCGCAGGACACATTTCTGTGTGCTTGCCTCCCTTTGCGAGGTATTTTCTATCAGGCTATGTAGGGTCCCATGGTTCAGGGTTCTAAGGCTGCAGGCACTGCCTCAGGCAGGAGTAACATCTATTTGCAGGCCGTAGATCCTCAAGACTCAGGCGATTCTGCCGGCCTGGCTTTTCACATTGACATGAGGTCCGGTTTGGGCTGTGTTTGGTGGTTGTTGGGTTTGCCATGTTTCGCACGGCATAACTTTGCGGCGTCGGGTTAGCGCCTTTGGTTTGCTGGTTCGTACCTCGACTTTCACACGAGGCGCAAGTGTACAGCTGCTTCGTATCAAATGCGAGTAGACACATTTCTACGTTGAACTTATAGATTATAGAGTTCGATGCAGTGAGCGTGCACACCACCAAAATAATCATTTTTCATCCGGGCAATCACAAGTGTTTGCATCCACCGCCGCCGCCACCACCACCCACAACCACCACCTCCTCGATACCATTGAACTAACCTTCAAGGACAAATAAACTAACCCTCCACTTCATCACCATCTTTAACATCAGTGTCATGGTCGGAGCCGTTCATGCGCTAGCAGTTTCCCGCAGCATCCCCCTGCGCCCGAAAGCCTTGGAGCCTAAACTGCCAGTCTTTAAGTAGCTACGACCCCAAGACTTTGCCACGCAACACAAGCCAACTCTATGACTATGAGCCCTAAACTGCTCGAAACTACCTCCCCAAGCTGTAGACTGCCCGAAACTCCTAAACTCAAGAAAGCCCAAGCCTTGACCAAAGAAGCATGAACCAATGGAGGAGGGGCGTCGTGTGCCAGCCTTCGGATCGCCCAGCGACTCTTCCTCGCCCACGGGCTCGCCAGGAGGATCCGAGGGCTAGGTTTGGGCTTCTTCCGAGGGTACCCATGCACTGCAGTACTCCTTTAATCAATCGTCGCAATAGTCGCTTGCTTAATTGTCGTTCTTACCACAGCATCTCAAGATTTAGCGAATACATCACCTGAGTGAAAGTATATTGGAGTCTCTGCGACACAAGACCAGGCATTGCAAGGTGGCAAACTGCCCCGCCAACCTCTTTCCGCAACAAGGCCCAGGCCTAAATTCTGTTTGCACAAGCCTTTGCGCTCCATTCACTGGGCAGCCTCAGCCTCACACGCCTTTGAACCTGAACAGTCTTGGAGTTTTAGGGCCTGGCGTAAGACCCACTTCCATGCCCTGAGAGTTTCCACTTCGATTCGGCATTGTGCCTGGATTCCAGGCTACGGTTCGCAGAGTTCAACGTGTAAACAGAGGTCTGGGGGGAGATAGGGCATGGTGTGCGGGCTTACATTCGACCCTTCGATTCGTATCACCATTCATCCCAAACAGGAATCCTCAATGCTGGCACAGCACAAACAAGGGTGGGGGATCCCTTTTCCGATTGCTTTCAAGCCTGACCAATATTCGAGTGCACTCTTAGAGTGGTCAAGATAAATCAGCAGAGCAACCATAACAGCAATGCCATCAGCAGTGACGATGTGCATGTACACTCGCCGGGATAGTAGATGTAAAATGAGTGCGCGCCTGTGTCCCTCGAGGAGCATCATCCCCCGGAACTGCGCTCACAGAGCCCCCTGCAGCGGATCCTGCTGATGCGCTCACGGCGGTGCCGATGGCAGAGCCAAAAGCAGAACCGAAAGAGGATCCGAAAGAGGAGCCCACGCTGAAGGCTGGAAAGGAGGTGCGGCCTTGGGTGTTGGGGTTTGAGGCTTTACGGGTGATTTGTTTTTCGAGGTTGGAATTCGAACGTTGTGTTTTCCCTCTCGCTGACTTTAAAACCTCACTGCCAACAGGGTCGGGGTTTGTGCCTCACCCCGATCAGTGAACGGAGCCGTCCACCGATGACTTCCCGGTTTTTTGATCCCCTATTCCGCCTATTCCCAGCCCTAGCATCCCCAAATTCAAAAATCTGAAACTGTTACAGTGCCACGCTTCAAGCCCCCAGGTCTAAAGCGCCAACTCCCTCAAAGCGAGGCAGCAGTGCGCGACACACCGGCCACAGCCACACCTCGGTCAAAGAGTTCGACCCCGACTGTGCACGGGCGGCGAAAGGACCAGGGTGCTTTGGGTCAAGAGGCTTTGTGTTTAAAGTGTTAAGTTAAGGCCTTAGTCTTAGGCTTATAGGGTTCAGGACTTACGGTTTAGGGTTCATGCAGGGTGTAGAGCTTTCCTTACTCCAAACCGTGCACCCAACTTATAAAATTAAAAAATGATTCAGCTGCAACCTGGACAATGTTTGGGTCGTTGGGTTTCCGAGCAATGGCGAATGTGCTTATTAGTGGCCCGTACAGGGGTCATGATCTACAGTCGCAGCAGTGTGGCAGTTCGATCTTTTCTTCGTGCCAGCTGTAAGCGGGGAATCTGCTTGACGGACGGAATAAGGACGACTTTCAACACCAAGAAAAGCCAAGGGCCAAGTGCATCTTCATGTTTTTCGGGTCTGCACGATTGCAGGACGATGGTAGCAAGACGCCATCCAGCGCAGTGGAAGAGCTTTCGACAGGATCGGGCTCGGGGTGAAGTCTGCAAGCCTTCAGACAGCGCAAGCTTGCGCGCATGTGGTTTATCCCCTTGACCACGAGGAGGCTTTTCAAGGTTACGATGTTACAAAATTAACTCAACCGGAAGCCCGGCCACACCCACTCCGACTCCTTTTGTGCCATATTCTTCGTGTGGTTCGGGATGTGCACGATCAAGGGTTGAGGGGTGGAGGTTTGGCATCTTCAGAAGTTGGGGTTGTAAAGGGTACTTCTGCGAACAACCAGGGGAAGCAGGCCCGTTTTGCACGATGTTGCAAGTCCTCACTCTGCGCTCACCGTCCCCAGGTCTCTGGGCTGCGCTTTAGCGGGACAGGGTGGTCTGAAAGTTAAGCCTGTCGGTGGAAGATGTGCCGAGAGCCACGCGAATCCCTGGCACAGGCACCAGGAAGACGCTCTCCGAGAAGGCGCAAACAGCCACCGCAAGCTTAAACTTGATAAGGCTTCGTCCACGTGCGCCCTTAAATTAAAGCAAGCTCGATGCCAGAGCTCTGAAGCCCCAGGACCCCGACAACCCAATAGACCTAGGAGGTGTAGTCGGCATAGTCCATTTCAGATCAAATTTCCATCGTGGCTTTTTTACAAGTAGGGCAGGCCAAGCTCAGGCAACAGAAAACTTAATCCATACCGAGCCTTAGAACATTATAGCGATCATAGCCATTTCGGTGCAAGCTCGAGCTTTTGTTTGACTGGCAAACTCTGCTGTGTGTTAGAGTCCCGTGAAATCATATGTAGCAAGTAACGCGACATAGCAGCGACTAATGCCTGTGCGCATGACTAGACCCTGCAACTAGTCTAAGCGGGCCACAAAGTCTCGTGCCTAATTGTTCAGTTCAGGGATCAGTCCATGTTCGTCATCAGGCCGCACCTTGACTTAGGGAACTCTATCCTGTCACGGTTTCAATTCCAAAATTGCCCCACAACATGCCCTACAACCCTGTAGCTCCTGAGATCGAGTATCAGGGTTCCAGTAATGAGCCGTTTTCCCGCCAAAGGGAGCTTCGGTTCCAGCGCTTCAGCCCTTTTGCCCCGATGCGTTTCAGGGTGTTCAGTCTAGTCTTGGAAGTGTTGGTGGTATGCGGGTTTGGAATGTGACCGCTGGAACGATATACACCTCCATAGCAGCGTGTTTTTCGACTCCGAAGCAGGATGCGGCTGGCTTTGCCAAGCGTTTGACAGAGTGGGCGAAGGACTAATGGGTTTAAAACGAGAGCTTTAGGGAATTCAGGCGTTGTGTCAGTATGGTCTGGTTTCAAGCTCGCAGTGTAGATCCAATGTGCTCCGTGACTAAGCAAGGCTGAGGCGATCTCAGGGTCAGGTCTTGTCCGATCTTGTGCCAGCAAGGGGAATCGGGTGGTGGCCTAGCGGCCGTAAAGATTCGTATCACTTCCGGGCTCACCTGGGTGCTGCTCTCGAGTGTTTCCTACATAAATGAAGGTCTCTTTCTCGAAACGCCGCGCCAAGTTCCAGCTTCCTGCTCCCGAATCTCCTACACTAACAGTCCCCAGCGCTCGAAACCCAAACCTCCAAACCCCAGAGCATCGCCTTAGCACCGATCCCTGCATTGCTGCACGCGTCTGCAGAAGGAGCTGACTCTCGATGCAGACACGGCTTAAGTGGCTCATGTAGGGGGCCTAGGTTACCATCTAGTAGAACGAGCTTCAGGTTCCCTTATTTATACTTTTAGTATTCAGTCCCCCTCTACTCCGATTGCCTAGGCTCCTACATTTCAGCATGAGTGCGGCATCTTCTGAGATGGCATGCTGCGAGTTTACTGGCCCACTGGCTGTTCTGCCGAGTGCTTGCATTCAGGATAATGGAATATAAGCTTACTGTTCCTGCGAGGGGTGCCCGGTCCTGCTGGGGCTCCTGCCCTGGGGCGGATTTTCCATTGAAATCGAGTTCAAAATCGGAAACTTTCAAGCTCCCGCCAGAGTGCCGTGTGTGTTTTCGGCGCTCCTTGGTTTGGTCTGGAATCTGGAGGTCTCTGCTACTTTAAGGGGCTATGGTATTTTGTACAGTCTTTTCCGACGAGGGTCCTGCATTTAGAGAGACTTCTGGAATGGTTCCAGGGCTGGGACCTGGGACTTCTAGATGCTCTTACACTGTCTGGGTCAATGCTGCCATGTTGATCTGGACGAATCTAGACGGTGGCATACTTGGGTTCGCTTGTCTACATGCTGAATTCCGGGTTCTGAGAATTGACAGCATGGCTGCTTTGCCCTCTCTCCTCGAGGACGCATGTGAACGCTTTCTTTTTGTTGAGGCTTCCGGTGCATAGTTCACCTTCCTGAAATCGTTTTGCTGTCTTTGCTTTTGCAGGTCAAGGCTGTGTCCGGTGTGCCCCCCCCCCCCT